GAGACCCTTAACATGCAGGAGACCCCAACACGCAGAGACACCCTATATGCAGAGCCCCCAATATGGAGAGACCCCCAACACGCAGGAAACCCCCAACACGTAGGAAACCCCCAACATGCAGGAAACCCCTAACACACAGAGACCCCTGACACACAGAGATCCCCCACACTCAGGAGACCCCAGCATGCAGAGACCCCCTATATGCAGGAGCCCCCGACACACGGACCCCCAGGGACGCAGCCAGGTGGAGGTTCAGTGCTGCTTCTCAGACTCAGCCCGCCGTGTCTCCTCAGCAACCCGAAGACTCCCGTGGAAAGGGGGAATAGCCTGCGTTTCTGACCCCCACCTGGCTGCAGGCAAGTGTCCCTTCCTTATTGATAATCAGCTGCTACACTCTGATCGCTGCAGCTGAGTTTCTATGGCAACGGTTGCCAAGGGGTGAACTGGGGTTTTCCCTCTTAATTCTACAACGTTTTCTTTTGGGCTTTGAGAAAACATCCTTATTTCCCGCAGTTCTGTGTGGGCCCAGAGATGTCTGGAACCAGCGTGCAGAACCTGGTTTGTAAGGGACAGTTGGGGATGGACGAACTCGGCCTCAGCAAGGCATGAGCAGGCTTGTTTTTATCCAGAGTGTTTACTCTGGGTCCGTGTACCAAGTGCCAAGCCGAATGCCTCAGGTCAAGGAGAAAGAAGACTCGAACGCTTTCTTGAAGAGTTCAGAACTAATCACGCAACTGAGTATAATACATGGGGACAGGGCTGGAGCGATAGCACAGTGGGAAGGACGTTTGCCTTGCACATGGCCAACCCGAGTTCGATTCCCAGCATCCCATATGGTCCCCCGAGCACCATGGGGAGTAATTCCTGAGTATAGAGTCAGGAGTAACCTCTGTGCATCGCCGGGTGTGACCCAAAAAGCCAAAAAAGGGGGGACATAAAATTAGTTCTAAACTCTAATATCATGTAAAGTAGCAAACTATGATGCTCTGTACTATGGTAAGGCTCGTCCATGGCTGTGATACAATGTAACATACCATGCTATAGCAGACTGGAGCCATAGCACAGCGGTAGGGCGTTTGCCTTGCACGCAGCCAACATGGCTGATCCGAGTTCGATTCCTCCGCCCCTCTCTGAGAGTCCGGAAAGCTACCGAGAGTATCTCGCCCGCACGGCAGAGCCTGGCAAGCTCCCCGTGATGTATTTGATATGCCAAACACAGTAGCAACAAGTCTCATGATGGAGACATTACTGGGCCCGCTCGAGCAAATTGATGAACAACGGGAGGACCGTGCTACAGTGCTACCATGCTATATTAGTACACGGATAATTATAGTGAAATACAACAAAAATGTTTGTCCCATGGAATAGACTGCAGTTAGAACACAGCTAATAAGAACATGGGGCATAGCGATCTGTGTTAGTCCCTGGCTGTAATGTGAGCATTGAGGTAGCCCAAACAACAAACCTCCCGTTGTTCATTGATTTGCTCGAGCGGGCCCAGTAATGTCTCCATTTTGAGACTTGTTGTGACTGTGTTTGGCATATTGAATACGTCACGGGGAGCTTGCCAGACTGCCCTGCTGAGCAGGTGAGATACTCTCGGTAGCTTGCCAGGCTCTCCGAGAGGGGCGGAGGAATCGAACCCGGCTCGGCCAGGCTGGCTGCGTGCAAGGCAAACGCCCTACCGCTGTGCTATCACTCCAGCCCGAGGTAGCCCATATATCACAATGCAGTTACCTACAATATAATGTGACAATGCAATAGACAATAGATGGACAATGCAATAGAGAGCGTCAGTTCTAGGGACTGGTGCGTGGGGTGCGGGGGTCTCTTCCGGTTCAGCCGAGAGTGACCTCCGGGGTAGGAGTTGGCAGGACCGTGTGGTTCCCAGGGCAGTGCTAATAACAGCTCGGGAAAATGATTTCTCTATTATTTCTTGTTGGAATGGTTCTACTTGGATTGTACCTTTATTATTTCCATCCTTCACTTTGCTTCAGGTGTCATTTCACCCTCCCCTGTTTTTTTTTTTTTTAAGGTCAACATGACTGATGAAATGTCCCTTTTTTAATAAAAACATTGGGGGCTGCAAATTCCCCATCAGACCCGGCTGACGCCACTGCATCACTAAGTCTCATTTTCCTTTTTCAAGTTTTTCTTTGAGTTCGGGCAACATGGTGACAATTACGTTCAGGTGTGTGGTGAGATGTATAGTGTCACTGCCGCCTCCCACGGCCCCCGTCACTTCTTGTCATTCTTGGTAACTGTCTTCACATGTGGGGTATTTTGGGGGTATTTTCTCTGTTCATCTGAGACTTGGGCGCCCTCCCTGGGTTATCTTGAAGTGTGCAGCTATCTTCTGGTGCTGAGGAGAGCTTCTCCAATACCTGTCTGTTCTGGACTCCACGGGGGTGGAGAACAGGCTGTGCTCCCTCTCGGTGCTCTCAGGAAAGGCCCAGGATGTGGCCTGTCTTGATCACTGTCACAGACGAGAAGAACGTGTGTGCTGGCTGGAGGCTGGGTGCGGGCCCGCAATGCCAGGAGCCGCTGTGGAAGGCTCTCCCTTTTGTCTTTGAATCACAGTGAGGCACACAGTTACAGAGATGTTCATGGTCTGGTTTCAGCCGTACGATGTCCAACACCCATCCCTTCTCCCGTGCACATTTTCCACCGCTAATTTTCACCAGTCCCCGTCCAGTTTCTCTCCTACCCCCAAGTCAGCCTCCATGGCAGGTACTTTTCTTCTCTTTGTCTCTCTCTGTCTCTCTTTGTCTGTCTGTGTCTCTGTCTGTGTCTCTGTGTCTCTGTCTGTGTCTCTCTGTCTCCCTCTGTCTCCCTTTCTCTCTGTCTCTCTGTCTCTGTCTGTCTCTCTCTCTCTCCCCTCCCCCTCCCCCCCCCCCCCCCCCCCCCGCCGCCCTCTCCCCGCACCCGAGGCTGTTGAAGACTCTTCTGGCCTGTCCTTGGTGACGTCCTTGTCCCTCCCCTAGAGTAGAGTGTCGGCCTGCTAAACTGTGGCGTCTTCTGAACATCACGCTGTGAGATGCCGGGAGTTAGGGGCTGGCAGTAAGGTCATGACACACATAAGCCTAGTCCAGTTTGTCCTCCTGAGAGGAGGAATTGAAACACCTTTGGGCCCAAGGAGAGGACCGTGTGCGGACAGAAAAGACGGCTGTCTCCAAGCTTGGAGAGAGACCTCAGGAGCCAATAGCCAAAGATTGACCTTGGACTTTGACCTCCGGACTTGCTGGAGGAAGATTGAAGGAAGACTGAGTGTGTGTGGGGCGGGCCACCATGGCAGGCCTGGGCTTTAGGGGCAGGCCACAGCCAGGCCGACTGTGGACACACAGACACACACACTCAGACACACACATAGACACACAGATACACACACTCAGATACTCACAGACATACGCAGACACAGACACACACAGACACACATACACCCGCACACAGATATGCCCACACACAACACAGACACACACAGACACACATACACACTCAGGTACGCACAGATACACTCAGATATTCAGACACGCACTTAGACATACACACAGACACACATGCAGATATGCATGGACACAACACATACACACATACTCAGACACACACACACACGCACACTGGCATAGCTCTCCTTGCCCCAGAAGAAAGGAGTGCTGTGTGGGGTGGTCTACCTAGTTCTGAGGCAGGAGAACGGTAGCAGGGTCCTGGCGCTCCCTTGCACATAGCTGCACCACACAGGGCCTGGGAGCACCCTCAGACGAGTCCCTGCACCGCTCCAATGCAGGGAAGCTGAGTTCGCAAAGATTAAAATCTGTGCCTCCCGGGGCAGCTGGAGGAAGGGGAGGGACCGTCCCCCATCACAACCCTCTGGGGACAAGTAAGACCTGCTTACCCATGATCCCCAAAGCAGCAGGAGGGCTGGGTCGAGAGGGCCAGTGGGCCTCGCTCTTGCCCTGACTGTGACCCATCAGGGTTCGCTCCCTGGCCCGGCCCCGTCAGAGATATTCCTGAGTACAGTGCTAGGAGTAACCCTGAGCCTCGCTGTGGGTGGCTCCCCAACAGAACCCAAAAAGTGAATTTTTTTTTTAATGTAGGAGTACTGCTATTTATTCAGCCATTGATTAAGCTGATTGAATTGGGCATGAATGCCTCATTACCTTTTTTTTTTTTTAATTCAGTAGCACTGCACTGTAGTACTGTCCTCCCGTTGTTCATCCGTTTTGCTCGAGCAGGCACCAGTAACGTCTCCCAACAAATTGTGAGACTTCTTGTTACTGTGTTTGGCATATTGAATACGTCTCAGGTAGCTCGCCAGGCTTTGCAGTGCTGGCAAAATACTCTTGGTAGCTCGCGGGGCTCTCTGAGAGGAGCAGAGGAATCAAACCAGGGTCGGCTGCGTGCAAGGCAAATGCTGTACCCACTGTGCTATGGCTCCAGCCCTTTTTAATTCAGTACGTTCATTTAATTTAATTATTATTATTTATCATTTTTATTTTTCATGATAGCACAGTGGGTAGGGCGTTTGCCTTGCACGTGGCTGACATGGCTGACCCGAGTTCGATTCCTCTGCCCCTCTCGGAGAGCCCGGCAAGCTACCGAGAGTATGTCGCCCGCATGGCAGAGCCTGGCAAGCTCCCGGTGATGTATTCGATATGCCAAACACAGTAACAACAAGTCTCAAAAAAATGGAGATGGTACTGGGCGCGCTCCAGCAAATCACCGTGAGATACAGTTACACAGCTTTTCCGATTGAGTTTCAGTCCTGCAATGATAGATCATCTCCCACCACCAGGGTCCCCAGTGCCCCCATCCCGACCCTCCCCCTGCCTCTCTGGCCGACAATCTCCCCCACCCTCCGTCTTGCGTTACTGGTTATGATCAGCACACACTGTTGTGGCATTTCCATTCCACTGAGAAGCCAAGAACAGCCACAGTGTCGCGTCCCTGTCCCCGGAGGGGCCCAGCCCGGCCGCCCCGCTGACTGTCGCCCTCTCCCGCAGCTGCCCATGATGGGGGGCGCCTTCATGGACTCGTCCAACGAGGACTTCAGCGCCGAGTACCCGCTCTTCGCCGCCTCCAACCACGTGCCAGCGGCGCCCACCCCGGGGGCCGATGACCCTGGCCGCTCCTCGCACGACGCCGTGCTCCTGTGGATCGCCGTCATCGCCACGCTGGGCAACATCGTGGTGGTCGGGGTGGTCTACGCCTTCACCTTCTGACGCCAGGGAGACCGCGGGGGTGGGGTAAGGGGTGGGGCAGGCCGGGAGCAACCTGGTGGAAAGTTCTAGAAGCTGCATCGCCCAGGGGTGGACCAGCGGGCACTGCCGGGGCTTGCTGGGAGTGCGGGGTGCGGGGGGCCTTGGGGAGGGGGCGGGCGCTGTGTGTACCGGGGCGCCCCCACTTAGGATGCTGCTGACCCCTGCAGGGAGGGACGCAGGTGGACCGGAAGTGTCCCACCCCCCCCCCGTGCCCCCACAGCTGGCCCCTCGGAGACCCAAGGAGAGAGGGGTGCCGAGGGAGGGGTGGGTGGCTTTATAGGCGATGCCGCTCTCCCTTGCACCCAAGGGCGGTGTGCTGGGGGGAGGGACTGGGCAGGTGACGCCCCCCCCTCCCCGCCACGCCTGCCCCCTTGAGCCCCGTGAAGTGCCCTGCAGGTCTCTGCAGCGTCGCCCACCAGCTGCCCAGCAGGTGACCCGAGTGTCACCAGGCGCGGCCACCTGTTCCACTGAGCATTGCAAGGGTCTCCCCCCTCCCCCGTAACATTAAAATAAAAATATAAAAAATAGACCTGCTGGGCCCCGAGCAGAGGCTTTTCCTTTGGGGCGCTGGGGGGCTTAGGGGGTCCTGCCGTGGTCCCGCCTGGGCAGAGAGAGCGGGAGGGGTCAGCGAGGGGGAGAATGACCCCAGGGGGACGCCGGGCAGGGTGGGCGCTGGGGCTTGCGCACCTGGCTCTGAGCCCCGGCGGGCGCCTGCCCTCAGCTCAGTGGCCGCGTGTCCCCCGGGGCAGGAGGGCTGGGGGGAGCCGGAACTGGAGGGGACGGAGGCGGTCCCCCGCTCCCCCGGGCCCACTTTGCTCCCTGGCCCTGGAGCGTGTCTGAGGACAGTGCTGAGGCCACATGCGCAGAGGGACGGGACGTGCCCCAGAGGCCACCGGCCACACTAGAGGGAGATGATGCTGAGTCACTCACAGCCCCCCAAGCACCCCGCAGCTCTTAGGACCGCACCCCTCCTTGCAGCCGGCGGGGACGGGTGAGAGCAGGGGGCAGGATAGGGACTTCCTGCCTCACTCAGCTGGGGTCGCTGCCAGCCAGGTGCTTCTCGGGCATCTCCGAGGGGCTCCTGGGGGTGGGGGAGGGGGCCAGAGAGTGCGGGGTGCGGGGACCTCCGACGTCTGTGCTCTGACCGCACCTTCCCACCTCACACCCCTGGGGACCCCGGAGGGAATCTGGTGGCTGTGTGTGTGTATGTGTGTGTGTGCACGTGCGCATGTATATGAGTGTGTGTGAGTGTGTGTGTGCGCATGAGTTTGTGAGAGTGGATGTGTGTGTATGAGTGTGAGTGTGTATGCGTGCATGTGTGTGCGCGTACATGTGTGTTTGCGTATGTGTGAGTGTGAAAATGAGTGTGTGAGTGTGTATGAGTGTGCGTGTGTGCGTGTGTGAGTCTGTGCATGTGTATGTGCATATATGTGTGTGAGTGTGACATGTGAGTGTGTGCATGTGTGTAAGTATGAGTGTGTGTGAGTGTGCATGTGTGTGGGGGTGTACGCACGCATGTATGTGTGCATGTGTGTGAGTGCATGAGTGTGCATGTGTGTGTGCTTGTGTATGAATGTGTATGTGTGAGTGTGTGTGTGCACACACCTGTGTGTGAATGTGTGTCAGGAGAGCAGGCGCGTGGGCTCCCGGCAGCACTCGGGGGTCCCAGCATGCTTGTCAGTTTCGTGACCTGCGTGGGTGTCGGGTTCTGGAGGCGCAGGGCCCGAGTGGTCCCACATGGCCTGGCGCAGCGCTGGGTTCTTCCTTTCCGGGCTGCGCAGGGAACAGACACCGGGGCCTGGTCACAGGAGCCACGCTGGGGGTGGGGAGGGCATGTGGGTGGGCGCTGCCCCCCACTGCCCCCCAGACAGGCCGAGGGCCCAGAGGATGGGGGCACCACCCAGCGCACCCAGCACGAAGCAGGGGGCTGACTGCCCCGGGCAGACCTTGCTATTCCCTGAGCAGATTCTCGGGGTCTGGGGGTGCCCAGCTTGCTCGGTGGTGCCCCCCGGATGTCCACAGGCCAGGGGAGGTGGCCCTCTCGGCTGTCCTCTACGGGGAAAGTTTCCCTGTGGCCAGAGTAGCTCTGGGGACCGGTTCTCAGGCTGCAGCTGTGTGGGACTGTCCCCTGGGTCCCCCCTGCTGGCTTCCGGTGTCGTCAGTGGCCGCCCCTTTGTGGGTCTGGGCTGCTCCCCCGCCCCAATGTCCGAGGGCCCGGTGGGTGTTGGGGAACACCCCACCCGCCGCTCCCCTCTTGGACCCCTGGAGCCCCCACGGGTGGCCATACTGGGCTCTAGCCACTGCCCTGGGCACCACCTTGTCCCCGACAGGCAGAGCAATGGGTGCTGCGGCCCCCGATGGCCGTACTCCCCCTCTGAGCTGTGGGCTGCCCCCTGCCCCCCATCAACCTCGAGGCAGGGGGGTCCCGGGGCTGGAAGCCCCCATTTTCTGTCAGGAGGAGGCCCTGCCCTGGGGTCTGCGGGCTGGGGGACAGCTGCCCTGATACCCTGCGTCCCCAGCCTGCCCCATGGCCCCTGCAAAGTCCGAGCGAGGGACCCCTGGGCTGGGCCTGAGTGAAGGAACGGATGCTGCAAAGTGTAGCTCTCGGGGTGCTGGGGTGGGGGTGAGAGGCTGGTGAGAGGACCCCAAGATGGCCTGGCACTCCTGGGGCAGATGGCGGGTGCTGGCTGGATATGGGGATGCCAGAGGCCTTCCTGGAGCTCTGGCCGGCACCTCCTCCACCTTCTTCGCCTAGTCCCGGCAGATGCCCGCAGACTGGCCAGGGTGGAGGCGCCTGGGGGCTCTGCTCCCTTGGAACATTCCAGGCCTGTTCCTCTGCCCCGGCCTCCCCTCTCCTCCCCTCTCTGAGGGACCACAGAACGGGCAGGACCGTCCCAGCTACCCAGGTGACCTGCAGGACATGCCCTGCGACTCCGGAGACCAGAGCCTGCCTTGCTTTGGGGGTGGGGGATTCCCCCGGAGCAGAAGGGCCGACCTGGCACAGAGCCACCAGCCTTGGGCACGCAGCATCACCTTCCGGGATGCCACCAGGCTGTTGGTGACCAAGACGGAGTTGGAGCAGAGCACACAGGGGCCGGTGGGCTGGGGCATGTGTACTGCGACCATCCCTGGGTTCCTGCCCCATGTGGCCTCTTTGTAGATAAACCCTAGTGGGTTTCCAGGCCCACTGGGGGACATTTGTGCTGTGGCCACCGAGGGCGTCCAGGGCTTTGTGAAGAGGACCTGGTGTCTCCTGTCTCTGTCCTGGAGAAACAGGCCCCAGGGGCTGCAGGGCCCACCCAGGACACAGCTGAGTCCTGAACTGGGGGGGTCTTGTTACCCCTGGGGGCACTTTGTCATGTCTGGTGCTTCGAGGCAGTTTCAGTGACATGGGGAGGAGGGGACAGAAGCTCACAGCCCGGCCAGGCCCCGACCCCCACCCTGAAATGCCAGAGCATGGAGGTGAGGGGTTGGCACCAGGCTGTGGTCTCTGGTGCAGCCTTGGGGTGTCCTGAGCCAGGCACCCGCCAGTCCCACCCCCAGCCAGCTCCCCCGGGGCCTTGCCTGGCTTGGCACCATTTCTGGGAAGTTTGAGCCGCGGTGGACAAATAGGGCGCCCCTGGCCTCTGGCTGTCTCTTGTGCAGCCTTGGAGCAGCTCCGCTGGTTGGGAGGCTTGGGGGAGCACCACCCTGCCTTGGGGCCCGTGACCTTTCTGCCCCGTCCCCCTGTGTCCCCAGGACTCGGGGTCCCGGCAGCCTGACCTATGTCATTACAGTCCCTCCCAGCTGCCTGTGTCTCCTGTTTCCAGTCTGTCTACACTTGCAATGCTGAGCTTGTGCCCTGACCCCCTCCCCTCCCCCACCCCGCGATCGACACCCCCAGCTGCGGGGACCAACGTCTTCACTCCCGTGTAGTCATCCAGCGCTCCCTCTCCTCTCTCTCACTCTCTCCTCTCGGCAATTAAAGAAAAGGAGCTCGAACCCGCGTGTGCCTTGGTCTGTGCCCGTCCCGCTCAGCCTCCCGGAACAGACACGTCTTCAGTCCGCACCTGAGCCTGCCCCCGGGAGCCCATCCTGTCCCGCTCAGAAGGGAACACTCTAGCCCCCGGGAAGGGGCCATTTCTGCTGAGTGGAGACTCCCGAGGGGTCTCTGAAGCTGCCCTTCGACTGGACAGTGAAGAAGGAAGGGGGGTCGCAGAGGAAACAGGCCGAGAGGGGAAGGAAACCTGGGCCGGTCTCCTGGATCACGCCATACCTGAAGGCTTCTCGGCAATGGGAGCGGAGTCCCTGTATGTCTGAGGCCAGGTCGAGCTGGGTTTCTGGCCCTGGTAATCGAGTCTTTGTGGATGCTTCCACAGCAGGCTCTGACCTTTGATCTTAGACCCCCCAGGAGAGTTGCCCACACCCAGGATGAGGCTCTCCAGGGCCATCTGATGCATCAGTGCAGCTGGACTGGGCAGCCCGGGCAGGGAAGCTGGGCATGGCTGTTGGGCTCTAGGAAGGCCACCCTGACGTCAGCCTGCACCGGGCCCCTCTGGGCAGGAGCAGCTTCCCGCTGTGGGCAGGCAGAGAGCAGCGGGCAGTCAGCGGGCACAGCCCCTTGGGCGCACTGCCGTGTACCTGCAGTCCCCAAAGCGCTATGCCCCCTGTTTTCAAACTGGCCCTGGTCACCTTGCAGGGCCTGGCCAGCTCCCTGCTGGGTTTGCCCAACTCAGTGCGGAAGGTTCTTGTGGCCCCCGCCGCTGCCACCTGGCTGTGGAAGAGGGAACTTCGCCCACCTGGACAGAGCAGCCTATAAATCTGTCCCTGGCTTGCTGCCATCCCAGGGCCCAGCAGGAGGCAGTGCTGAGCCTGCGCCCCTATAGGTGCCGGTGCAGGCGCCCCCTGCAGGCCATCACCCGGAACTGCAGCCCAGGCTCTGTCCAGCTGCCCTAGGCCAAGAGCCCCTGCATCACTTCCAA